CAAAAAAACTACAAATAGAGCTACCATATAGCTAGCAGTGGTATATCCCACTGCTAGGTATATACCCAAAAGTAACGAAATTAGTATATCAAAATGATATCTGCACTCCCATGTATATTGCAGCATTATTCACAATAGAAAAGATTTGAAATAGGAAAGATTTGCTATATGCACACTTAGCAAATCTTTCCTATTGTCCCATAGCAAGACATGACTTGCTCCTCCTATATTCCACCATGGTTGTGAGGCTTCCCCAACCACGTGGAAGTGTAAGTCCATTAAAGCTCTTTCTTTTGTAAATTTCCAAGTCTCTGGTATGTCTTTATCCGCAGGGTGAAAATGGACTAATACAAAAGTGAAGAGACAATCCACTGAAGGAAAGAAGTATCTCATGTACTCCATAAATATATAAACCGATCATGTAACCACCAAGATTGAAATTAAAATATTTTTTAAATACTAGTAGTAATTTTATACACCAAGAATGACTAAGCTGAGAAACAAATCAAGGAGGCAATCCCATTTATAATAACTACAAAAAAATAAAATATCTAGGAATACATTTAACCAAGGAGATGAAATATTTCTACTAGAAAAACTGCAAAACACTGGTGAAAAATATATGGATGATATAAACACATGAAAAAACATCCCATACTCATGGAGCAGAAGAATTAATACTGTTAAAGTGATCACACTGCCCAAAGCAAGCTACAGATTCAATGCAATCCCTATCAAAATACTGACATTATTTTTCATAGAACCAGATAAAGCAATCCTAAAACTCATAGTGTACCTAAAGGAGCCCAGATAGCCAAAGCAGTTCTAAGCAAAAAGAACAAAGCTGGAGATATCAAATTATCTGGCATCAAATTACACATACTACAAGGCTATATTAACCAAAACAGCACAGTACTGGTTTAAAAATAGACACCTAACATCAATGAAAGAATAGAGAACCTAGAAATAAAGCCATCTATCTCCAGCCAACTACACATACACTGGGAAGAGGACACTGCTTTTGATAAATGGGTACTGGTAATATTGTATTGCCACCTGCAGAAGAATGAAACTAGACTCCTATCTCTTGGCATGCACAAAAGTCAATTCAAGATGGATTAAAGACTTAAATGTAAGACTTAAAACTATAAAAATACTATAAGAAAAACTATGAAAACCTCCTTTGGACATTGGTCTAGGCAAATAATTAATGACTAAGGCATGAAAAGTATTAGCAACAAAAACAAAAATAAATCTATGGGACTTAATTAAACTAAAAAGCTTCCACACAGCAAAAGAAATAATCGACACAATGAACAGACAACATGTGGAATGGGAGAAAATACCTGCAAAGTATTTATCGGACAGGGGACTAATATCCAAACTTTATCCAACTTTTACAAAAATGTCACAAAAAGGTAAATATCCAATATCCAAAATTTATAAGGAACTCAAACAACAACCACAACAAAATAAATAACCCCATTAAAATAGGCAAAGGACATGAATAAATATTTTTTAAGAGAGAACATTACAAATGGCAAATAAACACATTTTTAAAATGTTCGACATCATTAAGCATCAGAGAAATGCAATTAAAAGTACAATGAGGTATCATTTTATACCAGTCAGAATGAGTATTATTAAAAAGCAAAAAAATAATAGATGTTGTTGAGGATGCAGAGACAAGAGAATGCTTATCAACTGTTGGTAGGAATGTAAATTAGCACAACCTCTATGGAAAACAGTATGGAGATTTTTCTAAGAACTAAAAATAGAACTCATTCAATACCATTCAATTAAAAGAGATTTTAATCTCTTAGATTAAATCTCTAAGAAGAAAAAGAAATCATTATGTAAAAATCAAAGAAAAAGAAATCATTATGTAAAAAAGTTACCTGCACTCCAATGTTTATTACAATACTATTTAAAATAGCAAAGATGTGGAATCAACCTAAATGTCACTCAATGCAGGACAGCATAAAGAACATGTGATATACAATGGAATACTATTCAGCCATAAAAAAAAAATAAATCATGTCTTTTGCGGCAACATGGATGGAACTGGAGGCCATTACCCTAAGTAAAATAACTCAAAAGCAGAAAGTCAATACACATGCTCTCATTAATAAGTGAGAGCTAAATAATATGTATACATATAGAATCTGGAATAATAGCCCTTGGAGACTCAAAAAGGTAGGGGGGTTCAGGGAATGAGAGATGAGAAATTATTTTGTGGGTACAATGTATACTATTTGGGTAATAGTTACACTAAAAGCCCAAACTTTACCACTATGCAATATATCCATGTATCAAAACTGCATTTGTACCTCTTAAATGTATTCTAATAGAAAACTTAAGGTGCTAATGGTGTTATATCCAACAGCAGAAAGTCCATGGCATGAAATGTTTACAGAGATATGAAAAATAACTGCACTAGATATTCCTAATCGATCACTTATAAGAAGCAGGGATCTATGTGACTTTGTATATGATACTATTAAACATTTTTGAAAATTTAATGACATTGACTGGTTCCTCCTGATGTTACCGGACAACATGGTTAAAAAAAGGTGGGGGGATGAGTTCAGGGATTCAAACTCCCAGCAAAAACACCTAATGAATAACCTAAGAGCTTCTGTGTGTACCCTGAAGGAGACCTTCACTTTCTGTAGCTGCAGGGCTGAAATTGCTGAAGATCAAATGTAGAACCTCATCCTATGACTTGATGAATTACAAGGCAAGTTAAACACCAGCCTGGCGGAGTGCGTATTGTTAACGTGAGGGCATTGATTAGGATGTGGATGTGTGGGAAGGCCCTCCAGGGTCACTGACACTCTAAATTCTGAAGAGTCTTCTTTGCCCTAACTAATATGTATCTTTTCTAAAATGTCCTCATTCATCTAATTTATTATTATTATTATTATTATTACTATGTATATTCTGGTAAGGAAGCTCACATTTTTAATAGTTACCTAGCTAGCTATCTGTATATATATATGCACACACATACATACATACACACACACACATACATACACACACACACATTAAGATGGATAGTAGGTATCATCCCTCAATAAAATGTAAGAAAACTGACTCCTTTTTCAAACCAAGATTTGAACTGCAGCCTGAATCAAAGTCTGTCCACTTAACCACTCTACTGCAAGTCTCATGTATTACTAGCACAGATCTAATTGATACAACCAATTGTTCATAAATTGTTGGGAAAATATGCATTATTTATTTGGTGATTACATGGTAAGATTGAACAATTTCTTTTACTGAGTTTTTTTTGAAGGGATGGAAAAAGACTGCAGCGGGGTTAAAGAAAAGATGTTATGAGAAAGGAATATGAATTATTGCAGGCTGTATGTAAATCAAGATATTTAATCTTTAAAATGGGGATAATCTTTATTCCCACAAAGTTGTAATTATTGTAAAAGGTCCTTACATCTTTAACTAACGTAAGAAAGAATTAAAGATATTTTGTAAGCATCAAGTACATATAAGACAAGGCACTAGTACAAGATTTATAGAAAATAAAAAGCCATTGTTCTTAATTATGCGGACAGTATTCAAGTCTGGTTGGAAGTACAATACTACAATACTGCGTTATGGGCTGAATCATGTACTCTCAAAATTCCTATGTTGAAGTCCTAGGATCTTTATAGAGGTAATCAAGTTAAAGTGGGCTCATTAAAGTAGGTCCCAATCCAATGTGACTGACATTTTTGTAAAAAGTGGGAATTTGGAATATAGACATGCAGGGAGAACACCATGTACAGATGAAGGCAGAGATTAGAGTGATGCTTCTATAAGCCAAGGAGCACCAAAGATTGCTAACAACCTGTAGGAAGCTAGGGGAGAAACACGGAACAGATTCTTCCTCATAATTCTTAGGGGGAATCAGTCCTGCTAATACCTTGATCTCAGACTTCTAATCTCCAGGACTGTGAGACAATACATTTCCGTTTTTTAATTCACTCAGTTTGTGGTACTTTATGACAAACTGAATACTGTTAAAGTAAGAAAAAATAAATATCTGTTGTTTAACCCACTTTGTAGTACTTTATTATATCAATCTTATCAAACCTATACAATATGACATAATCAAAGAGCAACATCCTGCATAAACAAATTTTCAATTGTTTGCTATAAACAACCAATGCTTTTAAGGTTCAGAAACAACTATTATATAATTGATATTGATATGTCCCTTCAGCCACACATATACATAAATATGCACACACATGCATGCATGTAGGTGTGTATGTATTTGCATACATGCATGTATATGAATAACTAATTTCATTGGTTATTCAGAACCAATGAAAATTAATAATTATTTGTAAAATAAAATTATGTTTACCTTTCTTACTAACATTTTCAACATTCTGAGTCTCTACTATGTGACAATTAGAGCATGAGGTTGAGAACATCAAGAGCTAAACAAGATCTAGTCCCTTCTGTATGAGAATACACAATCAAGTCCTCATCTCCACTGTCAGAATACCCACAGTATTTGCCAATTATGAGGAAATTTTACCTCTGTTCTTTAGTTTGTATTCAATTAGGTCTGCTGTCTAATTATTTGTTTTATAGGGAAGCCTCCTCTCCCCCCAAGACAAAGTTCTACTGTAAGCATGTCATACAGAACTAGACAGATATTACTCAATAACTCATAATTGATAATACAGTCAAACATGAGGGTTTTAGTCCAAAACAAAAAAGTATCTTGGAAAGTAGTTTCTAAAATATAAGGTACTATATAAGCATTTGTTAATATTACCATTAATTATATTTTTAATCATTTATAACAACAAAAATTTGATATTCCCAAGTTAATTCCTTCAAAATTTTTTCCCATAAAACTTGTCCCATTATTGTGAAATATTAAATGACTTGAATTGCACTGAATGGTCACATAAAATTCAATTCTGAAAAAAAAAAATGTCTTACCAGACAAACTTAAAAGGAAAAGCCTTTAATATACTTACCACTTTCAAAGCAAGCATCAAAGAGAAGATGTCCTTTCTTGGGCTGTCCACAATATCCAGTTGGAAGCACTATATATTTGCTCACATTCCCTCCGATGGCATCATCATTTCCCATATCATTGCCTATTAAAAAAATTGTCTCATGTTAAGTAAAAGTCAAAGTATATTCAGCAATAGAAGTCCAGTCAGATTTTTACTGTTAGTTACCCCTTCCCTAGTCACCAAGTGTTTAACCAAGCAAAAAGAAGTTAACATCACATTGTGATACAGTGAAAAAAGGCTACATTTTCAAACAAAATGATATAGCGTCAAATGTCAACTCAAATACATGCTAATTCTCTATGCCCCAAAGCAATCAACCTAATATCTTTATACTTCAGTTCCTCTCATCCATAAAATGTGAACAGTAAACTCATCTTCCAAAGTTGTGTTATTAGAATTGTATATAAACTATAAAAATATCTTCTATCATTATCAAAATCCAAGATATATTCATTAAATTGCATCAGCCATTTAATATATAAATAATTTACATAATTTGACAGAAACATACATTCAATTATTTAAATTTGAATAAAGCAGTTATTCTATAAATAGCATTATGACTTCCAGATGCTCCACCAGAAACCATCTGAGAAACACTGAATTAGCATAGATGTTCTATTTCCTAACAGGAACTTTAATTTTTAAAAGTTTTTGAAGTTTCACTTTCACCTAAGATGTAGAAAAATGGAAAGAGTATCCCTTCTACCCTAACAACAACAAATATCTCAATTAAGAACAAAATCATAACTTTCCCAAATCTATCAGAGAACAGAGTTTGAAGAGCAGCTAAATCATCCAATGTCAAAGGAAAGTCAAGTCCCACCAAAAAGAGCATGGGAAGCAAGCACTGACTCCTCCATGACAGAGCACAAGAAGAAGTAATGCTGGGTCCCATACAAGTTAGTAAAAAAGCTAAGCTAATTTTTAAATATTATTAAATGTCAAATAAGGAAATACGAGAGTGTGGAACTACTGAGTCATAGACACAAAGGGAATTCACATCCATTTGAAGACTCTGCTGTACAGGTCTCTACCAGATATTCAGAAGGAAGATTACAAGCAGGTAGGTAGACCAGAAAATGTTTACCTTTGTGGTACAGGCCTAGAGAAGGAGAGAGCCTTCTGTAATAGGAAAGGCATGAAGTCCCTTATGGGAAAAACAGCCTTACATGACTAGGGGAGCAATAACGAACTTATCACCTGAGTACAAAAGTGAGAGGACGAGAAACAATAAAGGAAAACTCGTCCACACCTGAAGGAGTGGCAAACATTCCCAGAGAATATTATAAGTATTATTCATCACTATAAATGGATATACTTCTTTCCAGGTCATTTGTGTAGGGGCTTGTGTCAACCTAGTCTGGAAATAAACTAGGTTTGAGTTTCACTGTTGCTATGGTCATCTTAAATACTCAATCACCCCAGCCAGCCCCTTCCCTCAAAAATAAAATAGCACTAGAATAATTTGAAGCTAGTTGGATACTGAAGATAACCGTAGCAACAAAGAAACTCAAATACACCTTAACTCCAAGCTAGGTTGACACAAGCCCCCACCCAAATGAGCTGGAAAGAGATATATCCATTTATAGTGACAAATAATATTTGCAAGTACTATAAATACTATAAAAACAGTAGTATTCTCTACTCTTCTGGTAAAAAATTGTGAGACATAGCCAAAATATCAAGAAAAAACAACCTACTATCTAGGGAAAAAATGATACACAGGACCAGACATAGAAATGACCAGATACTGGAATTATCACACAATGAATTTTAAATAAAGCTTAATATGTTAAAGGCTGTAGTGGAAAATAAGAACAAAATTCATGAAGAAATGGGAAATTTCATCAGTAAGACACAAACCACAATAATAATACAAAAGGAAATGATAAAACCAAAATCACAGTAATAGTGATGAAGAATGCCTTTAATTCATTCATCAGTACACTTGGCACAGCTGAAAAATAAATCAGTAAACTTTAGATCAATAAAAATAATCTAAACATAAATGCAAAGGGAAATAGGAAAAGCAAAAGGGAAAAAAGAGCAGAGCATCCAAGAGCTGTGGAATAATATCAGCCAATCTAAAATATATATATAATTGGGATTCCCGAGGATATAAGAGTAAGAATGAAGCAGAAAGATATTTGAAGAAATAATGTCTGAGAATTTTCCAAAGGTAATGAAAGATATTGAGCTACAAATCCAAACAGTAACTAGTAGAATAAATATATTATTAAAAATTATATATATATTATGCTTAAAGAGATAAATCACATACAAATGAACTAAGACAAAAATACATATTTCTCTTTGAAATACATAAACTGTGCAAACCAAAAGTCAAGGTAATGATATATTGAAATTACTGGGAAAAAGTCAATGTAAAATTTTATACCAATTGAAAATATCTTTCAAAGATGAAGTACAAACTAAAGGTATTTTAAGAAAAATAAAAGCTGAGATAATTTATTATAAACAGTCCTGTGTTGTAAGAAATGTCAACAAAAGTTCTTCAGCCAGAAGAGAAATAATAGCAGCTATAAACTAAGGTCCACACAAAGAAATGAAGAGCTCCAGAAATGATATAAATAAAGGTAAATATAAATTTTCTTATTTTCAATCACTCTAAAAGATAAATGACTATAGAAAAATTAGCAATGTATTGTGTGTTTATGCCATATGAAAAAGTAAAATATATTACAAAAATTGCACAAAAGATTAGAAGAAGATGGCTGACTAGAGGTGCCTGACAGTTGCCTCATTCACAAGGAAGGGGCCAGTGTCAGGCACCTCTAAAAACAAGTAGATAACCACACATCGAATAAAGTGCCTAAGCGAGAACACTGGAATTCAGCAGGGAAGTAACAGGGACCCTCTGAGGCATGAAAGGAGAGGGAAGTGAAGCAACTGGCCCAGCCATGATTGTCTCAGATCCAAGAGAAGTTCCCCACTGCAAAGGAAAGGTAAGTAAAAGATCCCCAGTGCTGCATATTCCCATCACAGATGCCTGCAATAGCCACAGGAGAGTCTAGCATAGAAAGTCATCTGGAGTCCATTGCAATTGCGTTGTTCTACAGAGGAAATTCACACTCCGTTCTACTCACCCCCTGAACCCTAAGCAGGTGCAACTTGCCACCATTTTGAGAACTAATCCCCCATCAGGCTACATCTTGCCCTGGGGCCTAGCTGCCCCTGAATCTCCACATCCCTGGAGCCCCAAGGACATCCTCCCACATCCAACCAGAGGGCTGCTGCATTATGATGCCAGCTGGACCCAGCAATACATCTGGGTCCCCAGCACTGTAGCCATATAGTGTCCTAAATCACCCAAAACAGGCAGTATAGCACACCAGGGAGGCTGCCCACAGGACAAAAGGAGCCAAAATGCACAGTTCCCAGAGTCTGAAAACCATCTTCCCCAAGACACTGCCATTAACAAAAACAACACGCCTCCAGCTGAAGGGTCACTTCACACCTGAATGCACCACCACAGAGCTTGAGAATAAGCCTGCCTATGTATGTCATCCAGGATCTGATGGTTTTACAGATGGTTGGCATTACCCCAATTGGCAATCATTTTCTCTCCTGCTGCACTGTGAAGAGGTGCTTTTTGCCATAATTGTATGTTTCCTGAGGTCTCCCCAGCCATGTGGAATGGTGAGTCAATTAAACCTCTTTTCTTTATAAATTATCCAGTCTGAGTATTTCTTCCTAGCAGCATGAGAATGGACTAACACAAATACAAACAAAGAAGTTACTATGTAATGATAAAGAGATCAATTCAGTAACAGGATATAACAATGCACCCAACACTAGAACATCCAGATATATAAAGCAAATATTATTAGAACTAAAGAGAGAAATAGACCCCAATACAATCATAGTGGGAAACTTCAAAACTCCCATATTCAGCATTGGACACATCATATAGAAAGAAAATCAACACATTATCTGCACTATAAACCAAATGGACCTAACAGACATTTATAGAATATTTCATCCAAAAGCTGCAGAATACACATTCTTCTTATCAGCACATGGAACAGTTTCATGGATAGATCATATGTTAGGTCACAAAACAAGTCTCAAGAAATTTCAAAAAATCAAAATCATATCAAATATCTTGTCAGACCACAATGGGATAAAACTAGAAATCAATAAAAAGAGGATCTCTGGAGGTAGTAAAAATAGACAGCAATTAAACAACATGTTTCTGTATTACCATTAGATCAATGAAAAAATTAGGAAGAAAAATTTGAAAATTTCTTGAAGCAAATGTAAAAGCAAACACAACATACAAAAACCTAGGTGATAAAGCAAAAGCGGTGCTAAGGATATTTCACAACAATAAATTACAAAATCAATAAAGCGGAAAGATTTTAACAACATAATGCTGTACATCAAGAAAGTAGAAAAGCACAAATAAACCAAATGTAAAATAAGTAGAAGAAAAGAAATAATAAAGATCAAAGCAGAACTAAACAAAATAGAATCTAAAAAAACACAAAGGATAAGCAGAATGAATTAAAAGGTGGTTTTTTGAAAAGATAAAATCAATAAACTGCTAGCTAGCTAAACAAGACAAAGAGAGAAGACCCAAATAAATAAAATCAGAAATAATAAAAGACATTACAACTGATACCATAGAAATACAAAGGACCATTAGAGACTATTATGAACATCTATGTGCTATCAAATTGGAAAATCAAGAGAAGAATGTATAAATGTGTGAACATATATAATCTATAAAGATTGAACCAGAAATAAATAGAAAACCTGAACAGACTAATAATGAGTAGTAAGATTGAATGAGTAATTTTAACAACCTCCCAATGAAGAAAGCACAGGAGCAAATGGCTGTACATCTGAAATCCACAAAACTTTTTTAAAAGAACTAATATCAATTCTCATACTATTCTAAAAAGTGAAAGAGAATTCTTTCTAACTCATTCTATAAAAACAGCATTACTGGCGGAACAAGATGGCTGAATAGGAACAGCTCCAGTCTCCAGCTCTCAGGGCGAGCAACACAGAAGACAGGTGATTTCTGCATTTTCAATTGAGATACTGGGTTC